CAAAGATAGGTCACTTTGTAGAGACTAAAGGTCAATTTTATATCATTGGATAAAGTAACATAAGTGCACATGTGCCACGTCATTGTAACTTCTGTATTGTTAGCCAGGCATGGCTGAAAGGTCAATAAAATAAAAATAATACATATATATAAATGTATAATGTTATGAGATTTAAGCTATTTAGTTTAAACATTTAGGTTTTTATGGTATAATTTGTAGTCATTCTAGAACAAAAAAGGCATAATTTATATATATTTCCTAATTATTTTATGGTGGTTACGAGATCAATCAAATCGACCAAACCCATACAGATATTCCTTAGTGAAAATAACAGATAAAATATAAAGTTTTTTCTTAAGAAACGTTTGATAACTGTCTGGAGATAAGGATTTCACATATGAAATTTGAAAATTCTCTGATGCATAAAAGTATTTTTAATCTTAAAATGAAAATTACTTTGCATATTGGATAGGCAACATGTGAAAAGAAAAAAGGCATGAGAAAAACATTGCTTTAGAAAAAATCTAAATTAAATATCTTATTTTTAAAAACTACATACTTACTGGACCTTTCATCTCAAATTTAAAAAAATTTCATACACTAGTTTCATTTTTGTAAAGAACTTTCATGAGAGTTGCATACCCACTTACAATGTAAGTAGGTCATAGTCAAAGGGTTAATAAGTGAATTATTTGCTATTGCCCGCATAGCTCACCAAAACAGTCTTACCTTTTCAATTATATCAAGAGAAGTTTTATTTAATCCTTTACAAAAATATTCATTTCTTGTTGTGGCCCAGGTTACTCTACAGTAAAAAGAAAAAAATGTTATGAATATCCTTGTTGCTGAAAGTAAACAGAACACTGTACATGTTATAATCCAAAACAGGTCCTGAAGAAAGCCCTTATGTTATGATTTATCAACAACAGGTCACTAGGCATTAATATAGACTGAATATGCAGTACACTACTCTAGTAATGGTTTTACTAATAGTTGCAAATTTAATTATTGTTATAATTATTAACTAAAAAAATTCATTATAGAGTACCAATGTATAGTGTATATAAGGAGTAATTAGTTGTTCTTTCAACTAATAAAAGGCTAGTTTAGGTAGCTAATTAACTTTTTTCAATTTACTACTTAAAATTTAATGGTTAATCAAGGTATGTTATTGTAACATAATAGTGAATAGGTTTCTATCTTGGGTAGATAATAACATTGCCAGTTAGTAGTTAACAATGTTATTTCCATTTTTAAAGTTGGCCATTAAGCTATCCTTAAAATGTAAATGTTTTAAACACACAAAAAATGTCTTTGTGATGTTAACATGTGGAGTTTCAAGTTACACTTGATTTCCTTGCTAATATATATTTAGGTACATGGTCCTGTGCAAGGCTTAACACTACAGATTAAAATTTTGTGTAAATGTGGAATAACAGGATTTGCCATTTTGCTTCTTAGTTAATTTAGTGTGGAAATGCCACTGATAGTTAATAATGAAGTCCACGATGCCAATCTGAAGAAATTCAGGAACTGTAAATCTGTCTTATGGAGAGGACAATTGAGTTTTTTTCAAGCAGTTAAGGTATTGAAGACTACTTGATATCTTAAGAATTTATGTAATAGGGTCTGCTGTGCAGCTTTGATCCAAGTTAAAGTTAATTTAGCTAGTTTTGTTTTACATAGACAGAGAGGACTAATCTGTTTAACTATTAAAGTCAAAACCAAGTATAACATCTTTGCTCTTAAAGTAGAATCAAAAAGCTTATCCTATGTTAAGTGTTTCAGTGTGCTATGTCACATCCTATAAATAAACACTGTTCAAATAAGAAGGGTCTTGAAGTGATTTATTTATAAGAAACATTTCAAATTAACAAACACTTCAAATTATTAAAAACAGAACAAACAATAATAAAGTACACGATTGACATTCGAAAACACTATGTAGTACATAAAATTGAAGTTTGTTTTATCTGGAAATAAAAAATTTTATTCAGAAAAAAAAAGGTTGCTATGGGAAGAACATCAACACTATAACATAAGAAGGGGAATAAAAACACTCATAAATAATGCAATCAAGCAAGTACATATAGTAAATTTTTTATAAACAAGACTTTGTTCATTATGAGTTTCATGGATTAAAAATGGCTGTTTTACAAACAAAACACTTTTAAAATTCTAGATCCATACCTGTCTGCTGCAGTTAATGCTCCAAGTTTTTCTTCACCAGCTTGAGGAAGGCTGTCATCTTTAATTATTTTTTCTAGCTGCCTACAGAACACACATTCAAATGCTTGAATCATACAAACTACATGCATGTGGCTCCTTAGAAGTTTCAAAAGTTATTAAACACTATCTAACATTGATATGCAATCTCAGTAGTTAAGAGATATTGACAGATACTATCTAACACTGATATATAATCTCACTAGCTATGGATTGTTGATAGATACTAACTCTGAAATATGATCTCACAAGTTAGGAGTTATTGACAGAAACTATCCATCACTGTTATTTAATCTCACTAGATGGGAGTTGTTGATAGAAACTATCCAACACTGATATGTAATTGCACTAGTTAGGATTTGTTGATACATACTAACACTGATATACAATGTCACTAGTTAGTAGTTATTGATAGAAACTACCCAACACTGATATATAATCTCACTAGTTAGGAGGTGTTGATAAAAACTATCTAACACTGATATGTAATCTAACTAGGTGGGAGTTGTTAGTAAACACTACCTAACACTGATATATCAACTAACTAGCCAGTTGTTTATAAACTATTTAATGTTGACATATACTCTTACAATCTGAGAGTTGTTGGCAATCTGTCTGACAAGTTTAATTTTGTTTTGAAGTAACTTTTATTCATCTGATTAAAAGTCTCTCTCAAACAAATCTCAACTCTTTATGAATTAAAATAAGACTTAACTTTCAAGTCCTTCACATATACAAAAACACTTTATTAGTGTTTAAATATTGCAAATTAAAAAACAATTCTCACAAAAATTTTGACTACTATGAAACAAAATATATGATGTTACAAGGTGTACTATTTTCAACTTAACAACATTGTTGCTTATGTAGAGAAACTTTAATGACTTTTCTAAAAATCATTTCTGTAGTGTCTTGTTAATGAACTATCACAACTTTTGTAGTATCCAACTATACTTTGGTAGAAAGTAATTTTGATTGAAAAAATACATACCAAAATTTGTTAAAGATCATTCACACTCCTATGTATTCTGTTAAGTAGGTTAATTATTTTACTTAAAGCATAACACTTGTACTTAAATGTTTCCTTTTGTATTAACTCTGATGAATATTTCTCTTGACAAATTTCACACATATTAAAATATTCAAACAAAATATATATATAAAATTTAAAAGCCTAGTCATTTGTTTCTTTTACATTATATTTCTGTTAAATATTTACCTAAGATTTTGCTGCAATAAAAAACAATTATAAAAGAATAAAAACTTTTACTATTAATAGATCATTCTCATACACTAGTGATAAAGTTTTCTACATTTTCATTGTTCATACTTGTAACTTTTATATTCACTAACAAAATCCGCATAAAATTTTAATTACTGTTATGCCACATATTTAAGTAGTGAAGTACTACCTCTGTAATTCTATGGGACGAAGTAGTCGAGCTTTGTGGTATAAAGGTAATTTAAAATAACGTCCTTGATGATAAACACAAATATGCTGGCTCTCTCTCATATGCATCAATTTATCTAGACAAAGAGAACACAAAACTATTATTACACATACAAAAACAACAAAAATTATTTGAAATTTAATATACATCGATGTACTTCACAGCATTACAAGTGCCAGGTTTTAACAAACAGACAATGCACTTTCAAAGATGAATGCCAGATCTTAACTAAAAAACATTGATATTAAAAATACACCAGTTGTCAAATTTTAAAAGTTGTATAATTTTCTCCCAAAGGCCATAAGTAATAGATTTTAATTAACAGGCAGTGCTCTTCACAGATTTCCAAGTCCAAATTTTTACTAAAATATAGTACAGGTCCAAGATTACAAAGATCTACTTTTTAATTCAACAGTACTTTTTCTCAAAGCTCCCTAATGCCAAATTTTAACTGAGAGACAGTATTGTTTAGGGTTCATGCACTTCTTAGAGTAAAAACTTCCAAACCTTTTCCAGGACAAAAATGTCAGATTTATAAACCAAATATTGAAGCAATTATTTCTCAAAATCATCAGTTAGCCTTTTTACATTCAGTGTGTTAAAATTTTTTTTTTTTCATTTGGCCGTTATATGCAAGTTTCTTTACTTAGATATATAATTCATACTTCCTCTTCCTACTTCTACCTATTCATCTGCTGTTTTCAGTACAAAACTAATGTCAGTTTGTACTTTGTTTTTTGCTCAAGTGCATCAATGTCCTCTCCTCAGCGACCTTTTGTTTCTTTTCATCCACATAAATATGGTAATTCTGCCTATCACCAGCAGCTCAAATATAAAGTTCTTTATTGATACAAATATTTAGCATACCACCTATATTGACCTTGTACGATCTAAAACAAGTTTTTGTCTAACATTGGAGTCCTCATTCATATTTCGTATTTCTGTTTGTTTGTTTATAGCAAATCTCTTCTTAATACTAGCATATTGAATCAAAAGGAGACAGAGCTTCCTCACTGATTCCAATAATTCAGTATGGGATGAGTTTCCAGCTATGTATTCAAACAGTACAGTATTGATCCAATTTTCTCCTGTTTTGGATTTAAAAAAAAATCTCAATTTGCTTCATAATATCATCACATTTAGCCTTTCATATTCTTTCGGCATTCACAAGACTACTAAATACTCATTTCATTCCTGATTTACATTCATCCTCTTCAGAAACCACAAGTCTTGGGTCTAGTTAAGTAAGGCCACTCGTCTGTTTCAAAACAGGTTGCTCCATTTCTGACTCTGTATCAGATGGAAAGATCCTCCTCCTTCTTACATAAGGCCTAAAGCAACTTCTCATTGTTGTTTTGAGATGATATCTGAAAAGTGGACTAATTAAAGAAGGTAATGCTTCCTGGAGTCAACTGGTAAAATAGATCTCAAGGACAAGAAATCTTATTATAATTATAACACGATAGACATGAGTTTTGCTGCTGACAAAGTGCTCATGAGGTTTTTGTGACTAAAAATTCTGGAGTAAGAATGGAATGTATGACAGTTTGTGCTACCATAATTCTTCAGAAGGTCTGATTTCACTTGTTGAATATGTGGAACCATGAAAAACATAAGTCTGTAGGTGGTACCATGATTCATCATTCATGGGGCATGCCACTGCAAAGGATATCTTAAAGTTTATATCTTGAGAATGTATATCAATTATCAGTAGATGGTCCAAACATAAGTTGGTTGTTTTACAAACTGTTGCAGGAGGATATTTCAAAAGAAACAAATAGGGATTGCACCATGTTCAACATATGTTCTGAAGCCTTCATATTTTGTTTCTATGCCTTCAAGACAGGTGACTCCACTACCAAATGGAGTGTCAGCTCTTGCTATCTAGCTAGTACTGGATTGGCTATTCAAATATTCATTGGCTAGAAGAGAAGACTTCACTAAAGTTAGAGGCTGTTAATCTTTCCCAATAGAGTTTTGCCAGCACAATTGAGTTTTTACTTTAACAGATCATAAAGAAACATAATGAAATTTTTCTTTATTTTATCCCAGTTAGTTAAACCTCAAAATATCATTTGCAAACTACTAAAGACAATGTAGCTATTGCAGAGGGGGCTCAAATTTGGCCATTTATTACCAAATATGTCAGGCAGGTTAAAAAAGCACTATTCCATCTACATTGCAATAATTTGCAGTTGTCAAGACCAGTACTATGATCCCCCAGTCATTTCTATGATGACTTTTTTTTTTGCTTGGAATGTGTAATATCACTAACACTTTCACTAGACAGTAAAATAATTGCATGTTTTTTATTTTCCTGGATTGTCCAAACAATTTAGTCTATAACTGGTTCTATCCCAAAACAACATAAGTACAATTTGCTCAGTACAAGTAAACTTTAAAGCAATATTGCAATCTGAGAATATTTATTGGAAGAACTGATTAATATCCTCCCATGAATTACAAAAATAATGGCTGGAAATACATTATAAAGTTCACAGAACCTCCATATCTCAAGATATTTTCCCTGGACACAAAAACATCCACAGTACTAGCCATTCACTCTGCTAAAACAGTACTCTACAACCAATATTTTTAGTATGAGGTCAAACAAAAGATTGGTACAGCATCAATGTTGAAGTATTAGGCCTAGTGTTGGTTATAAAGACAGGCACGACACAGTCATACTGTCGGCATAAGTCCACCATTTGGCTTTTCATTAGTTTTGCCTGATTGAAAAAAATTCCTAAACTTGATTGATGAGCCTCCTCTATCTGTCTCCAATTGTTGAACAGCATCATAAGCATGTTTATTCCTCTGCATATGGCTGGTCAATGCAATTTTTCCCATATTGAAAATGTCGAAATGCTTATTACAAGCCTTGCACTTAGTCAATCAATCTTCCACAAGCCATTCTTGATACTGTTGATTTAGAAGCCAATCTTTATTCAGATAACATTTTCCCATTGTTATTTTGCATATTGAATACTCCAAAATTTGAATGACATTTCTCTCACACACAAGCACATGCCATGCATCTCCTAGAGAAGTAATTAGCAAATGCAGCATTGCAAATGAACAGCTACATACTTGGCAAGAAGTTTAATATATGTTTCAATCAATGAAGTCAGAAATTGATAAAAGGAGATTTGATTTCAAAAGTGGGGTGGGGATTAACTTAATTTCATGTATTTAACTTTTGTAATGAACTAAAAATTAAAAAAAGAAATAATATCAACACAGTTATATTTTTCAAGGACTTTTCCACAACAGTGACATGGCATTTTTCAAGCACCTTTCCAGCCCACAAATTCCAAATTAGAAAAAACAAATGAACCTCATAATTCACAAGATCCCAAAAATATAGTTTTTAACTCAACAATGCTCTGCACATAGCCAGAACTTGTCTAACAGATAATGCTCTTCATAAAACCATCAAGTACCAGTGTTTAATTAATAGAAAGTACACTTCACGTCACCTCAAATGCCACAATTTAATATCTAACAGAGCAATGTACTGAGAACAAGACTTGGGGTGACATAAACTTCAACAAACTAATACAATTGCTCTTTGATAATACAAATGTTTTTTGATTTATAATAACCAAGCATTTCATGCCAAATCCCAAATATAAATGTCTACATTGATAATGTCAGACACTTAGTTTACACTTTCTGATGACCTGGTCAAAATCCATGCATATATTTAATAGTTTCTTTTAAAGTTTTACATAATTCCAATGCAATTAATATCAGCTTGAAAACCAAAACATGCTTTTTTTTTCTCAACTCTCTATACTAAATTTATATCAAGATGTTATGTTTTTTCACAATGCTGGAACTTATTTTCAAGATCTGATTCAGAACTTAAACTTCACCTTACTTTACTGTGCTCTTTCATGGCAACTACAGTTTCACAAATTTATTAAGAGATTTGAAAATGACCTCCACAACCTTTTAATTATGGACATACCTATGACTACTATTTAAATTATCAATCAGTAAAAAACTGTGAAAAGTTATTAACATTCAGTAGCTACAGGCAATACTGAGTTCAGGAAAATGTACTTCCATTAAAATAAATGGATGAGATCTGCTTATAGGATTTGTACAAACCTACATTAGTTGTAACCTTCTTATAAGGCTTAGCAAATTTCTGTTGGAAGCTGTAGAAGCGAAATGCATAATATACTATTTCAGTAGTTAGAAAACAGGAAAATTACAAATACAGCAAATCTCTAATATATTACAAGTATTATTTAGATCATATAACATGTTTAGTTTTATTACAAAATATGCTAATTAAGGTTGCTGTATTAAATATTATTCTTTCCTGTGAGTGGCACATTTTCAAGCATTGCATTTATTTTCCTATCTACTTCCTGATACAACAAAAAATAAAGCAAAAAATACATTTACAAAAAATTAGAATTATTATCTTCAGAATATTTTTTTAATATTAACTCTTTCAGCACGGGCTCAGCCCCCTGGGAACGACTTCGTAACCATTTTGCTTTTGTTGTAGTTTTCATGCTATAACATGTTGCCTATCCAACATGCAAGTAATTTTCATTTCAAGATTAAATATACCTTTATGCATCCGAACATTTTCTAATTTCACATGTGAAATCTTTATAATGTCCGGATAGTTATCAAACATTTCTTAAGAAAAAACTTTATATTTTATCTGTTATTACATGAGCAATATCTTAGCAAAATCAAAAGATAAGAGCCTCTTATTTTATATTCTAGCTTGTCAATATTGGTAATTTGAGTTCCTAATTTGTATGAAACTACAGACTTAGTATTTTGACATCACAAACATCTAATTTGAATCAGTGCTGCATTCAACGTATCATGTGACACACAAAAATCAGTGTTTAGGTGTATTTTTTTAATATTTACTTTTAACTTAAGAAATTAAATAATGTATTATACTAAAATTTAAATTATAATCTACAGTTTGATACCAAACTTAATGAAATAAATTCATAAAACAGTAGTTCATTAAAATTTTGAATGCGAGTCAACAAACACAATGACATGGCCTTTCACCCGTGACCCGTCTGGAAAGGGTTAAACAACTTCAGCTGTTAATATAAAATTTGAAAAGAGCTTTTACCTGTTTCAATGCCTGGAATACGTGTAGTATTAAAAAGTCGTTCATACTGCCATGAACACAAAGGCACTGTATTTTGGACCATTATCTATAAAAAACAGTTGTAAAATTCTTAAACAAAAGTACCATGCTGTTAAACATTATCTAAACATAAAACTTCAACACAAAATAATTTGTGCACGTAGCTGTTTGGTAATAATAAAAAAAACTTACAAAAACACTACTTTTTAAAAACATATAATTAAAAAGATCAAGATGAAGACACATTATTGAATCATTAGAGAGGAGCAAACAAAAATTATTTAAAAATAAATGTGCTGTCTTGAATCACAGACTCACTTATATAAAAGAATCAATAAATGTGTGCATTTTGGACTACTTTTGGAGAAAAATTTTATTTCAGCATAATAGCATTTTCATAAAACTATTATCTAAAATATAAAAGTTCAAAACAAAGGTTCTATTGTTCTCATAAACATAAAATATCAATAAGAATATGTTGTAAATCTATACAGTATATTATTAACTTATAAAGTGTTGTCTATTGATTGTACTTCACCAACTTATTTACGATTTTTGCTCTCTTTGTTTTTAAATAGATTTAATAACATTTATGTATTAAACACTGAATTCTATGGGCAGCCCATGCTGTCAAAGTTAAAAACTTGAAATGGTTAGTTGTTCAGAGTACAAATGCAAACTTCATAGTCATGTGGACCTTGAAGTAATATGCTGAAACATAAAATGATATGGTGCTCATGTATAAATAAACAAGCCTTATGATAAAAAATTGTTTCTTTTACAATAATTGGTTAAGACAAGAAATGATCCGAGTTGTTGTACAAATAAACATGTTATAATTTAATATAAATATTCTTATATCTTTTGAAACAATCAAAATGAGAAAAGATTGGGTGCTCAGTATAAAAAATAAATGTGTTGTATTACAAACAAACAGTGTTATTTGAAATAATAATTTAAAACAAGAAATGATAAGGCAACTAAAGAAATGGTTAAGTCCTCAATATACACAAAAAAAACCCTCTTTATACACAAAACATGAGACCATATGACTGATGCTCTCTGACATCATTGAGAGTCCCAAAATGAAATATGTTTTGTGGTGCAATATGCGGTGAACATCGATGGCAAACAAGTGTGACTGGAGATGCCTTCAAGGAAAGGTGATATAAGAAACATGAGACTAGCAGTTCATAGGGAGGAAAGGGCATGGAGAACAAGATTTAGACTCCAGTCCAGCAAGTGAGTGGTCAAGGAGGTCAGTGGAGATGCATAAAATGAAATAAGAGGGAAATAACTGGAGAGGAAAACACACGGCAAAAACGGAAAAAATGCAAGGTAGATGACAGGACAGCCCTAAAGCCCACAATGGTTGAAATGGACAGATATGGCACCCGATATGTGACAAGTCAGCAATTGAATTTGATAATTATGAGCCAAGAAGAGAAGCTCTAGAGTGCAGGAACATAAGGACCAGATCAAGTCCCCCCCATTTCAGGTGATGTGAGAGATAACCATCTAGAATGAATCATAACTGTCATACCAATCAAGACTACAGAAATTGAACCATCACCTGATGAACAGTAAAGGTTTCCAAAATACTGATGTGAAGACTCAACTCCTCCACAAAACTAACACCCTGAGATCTCCCGTGTTTTACAGCACACACCCCATCTTGACAATGAGGCATTTGTGAAGATGTGGATATCCAGATGGGAGAAGTAATAGGTACCCCACTGTCATGTTGTTCTTGTTTAACCACCAGAGGAAGTCAGACAGAAAGGAAGCAGAAAGAAATATCTGTAAATCCAGAAGGTCCATGATGAGGTGCCACTGATCTTGTAGTACCCACTGCAAGGAATGCATGGGGGCATGGGCCCAGAGGGATAGGAGCCTCCAGTGATGGCCAAGTCTCCAAAAGAGACAAGAACCTCTTGTGCAAGGACAGAAGGTGCTGATAATGCCATCTGAACTAAAACCTCCATGGCTCACAGACAAAGTGGAGAAAGCTAGGCTAGACTGAACTGCGAGTTGAAAAAAACAACAACAGAAGAACAAGATATTGGGTGGGGTAGATAATGGACTTCTCCACCGAGGCAATCCAACCCACCCAAGCAGCTTCTGCAAAGTTTGGTAAGTGTGGAAGACTTAGCAGAGGATGGAGCCAGAAGAAGCCAAACATCCATATAAAGATGAAAAGTAAGCCTGAAAAAGTACGAATCAGGCAAACGACCAAACTCCCTGACAGAAAGTACAGGGTGCCAATACCAGCCCAAAAGGAAGAACTCAGAACTGTTAAACATGATCCTTGTGGAAGAAATGTAGATAAAGGCATGAAGGCTGAGCAATAGAGATGTGAAGATAAGCAATGGACACACTGAATCTCATCATACAAAGCCCTGGAAGAAAAGCCCATCTGAGAGACAGGTAGGATTCCATGGTGAACTGAGGCTAATCGATGAAGCGATTCAGATGGGAGAGATTAAAAACAGGACGCCAATACTCAGTCTTAATGGGGAAGATAAAAAAGTGGGGAAAAAATCCTGGAAACACAGAAGAAAACTCTTCTATGAGATGCTGACAGAAAATTTGATCTTGAGGAGAGGGATGAGCCAGAACAAGGGATAGGGTGGTACGAAAAAAAGGAGTCCTTCTAACAAAACTCGAATGACCCAAGGGTATATTGAATGATGATATGCAAGTGCATGAGCCTCTGCAGTATGTGGGAGGCATGGCATACTAATCCCCACACGTAAGAGATCTGCAAAATATTAATCACGATCCCAATATTAGGTGAAAGGGGGAAATTCAACTTAACTAGATGCTGCAATTAATAAGGAAGGGGAGGAATCAAATGACATGGGTCTCAAAGACAAAACACAACATTCCTGTGATATCAAGTCTTAAAAAGGGTGACTGACGTCTAGATGCTTCAATAGGCTGAGAACATGCCTATACAGCAAAGGAGGGGGAAGGGGATGCTGTCCATGTCCACATCATCCTGAGCTAAGTCTTCAGGTAAATGGCAGAATTACTTGTAGATCGAGAGATCCTTTGGCCTGCATGAAATAAACCATCTCCCAATGAACTATGGCTGATCCTTCCTCTGCCAATAATGCTGCACGTGCAGTCATTATCAGGAGATGTTAAACACTGGTACCATCAATAGACATTCTACTTGTAACACTAAGTTGTGAAGAAGTTAAAAAATATTGACTGACTGAGAAATACAATTCATAATCAAATAAAGAAATCCAACTCAATAGTGGATTATAAACAATACTTTGAATATGTTCAAAATGCACTAAAGAAAAAGAAAATGTTTGAAATCAAGTACTAATTCTTAACACAGTGTGCCAAAGCAAAAAGTGAAGATTGGGTTCAATAGCATAGATGGAGTCAGCTGCAATAGCATGGTTTGTCACACTCCTATTGATGGAAGATTGTTTCATACTAACTTGCATGCTTAAATGCTGCTGAAGCATGTGGTATACACGTAGAATTAGGTGGGAGTTTGAAGTCTAGTGGCAAGCAAAAAGTTGTGCACTACAGGGCAGTCAAAGTTATAATTTTCCTATACAAAAATGTCTTTCTGATAAGTACTTCCCTCTTCTCACAAGATTACATTTTTCCCGTTTTGTGTGAATTTGTTTCAAAATGCATACCACAAGCCTTCCACATCCCTCTGTTGGAATACAAAGTTCAAACATGTCTCTCATGCAAATCATTATGTGTCAACTCTCCACCAATAGGAAAGCACCACTATCATGTGACGCAAGAGACTCCCTCTATGCACCACTACTAACCTATCACCTTGAAGTTTGGCAGAAGACACGAGCATCAGAAGATTGCAGAGAGAAAGGGTGGGCAGTGTGAGAGGAGGGAAGTACCTATTGGAAAAACATTTTTGTATAGAAAAAGTATAACTTCCAATACACTACTGGAATGAGAGAAACAGATCAGGTGATCAGAGGAGGGGCACCACACCATTTCTGAACCAGCTATCTCTTTGCCATGAACTGGTGGGATTAAAACATAGTGGAATATGAAGGGAGCACATCTGCATGGGAAAGGATAGATCTGTAATGTGATCCCAAGCAGAGAAACAGATTTACTCAATCCCACATAATTTGGGTATTGGAGGATGTGTCCCATGGTGTAGAGTGGCTAGAGTGCATCAAACCATACTTGGTAAGTCAAATACATTCAAAACCTCACTCGCTAGGTACTGACATCCATGCAAAGGTAGGATGAGGATCATACCATCTTCACCTCAAGCCCTAGAGTCATGAATGTACATATAATATCAACTCTATGAAATGTCACAGGATGAGCATTGAGTTAGAGACCTGGAAATGTATCATCTGGTATCCAAGGGAAGTTCATAGCATGTAATCAACCTCCACGACTGTGAAACCAGTCTGAAACATCCACAGGTCTATAACATCCTCATCCTTCTGAGAACGAGGGAATGCCCAGGATAGAAGCAGAAATAGGCCAAATAGACCTTCTGTGACCCACAACACTGAAGATAGAGTCAAGGGGAGAAGATGGATGATGTATAAGGACTTATGTGGTTGGTTTGCACGATCTCCAAAACCTCACTTGACAGGACATGAGGGTAGGAGGAGGGCACCCAATCGGAGGGTTGAGCTGCATTTAGGCATCTCCCTCCAGACATGTGTCACTCATCCTAAGGATCTTTCTACACTGACAGAACACCACCACCCTACTCTGAACTGAATGGTTATAGCAATCTTTGTGGAACCCATTCAGCAGGTTGCCTCCATGGTCAACCATCCCAGCAGCTTGGAACTGGTAAGTGGTAAAAACTCCCATACTCCACTGGACTGGAAGAAGGGGGGGGGAGAAGTGCATTGGAGAGTCCGAAGAAACTGCTACATCCAAGACGGCAATGGGTGATCACAAAACCCTATTTTGAAAGGCAGAACATACCGATTTATTCAGTCCAGGCAAAGTAGGGATGGACAACGATCCCCTTCTGCTTTACCCATGCTATCCATGAGTGGTATGGTCTGGAACAGGCATTTGTATGAAGCAAACCTCACAAGGTTATTCACACTCTAGTGATCTTGTGAAACACCCCATCTCATAGTGTGCATAGCCATGGACAAAGTGCATGAATCAACTTGGCATACAGTGCAGAATTATGTTTTGGTTTATTTGAGTATAAATATATCTGAGAATGGTTATAGCCATCTAAGTGGAACCCATTCAGTGTTCAGAAAGAATACCTGGTCAAGCTCCACTCGCCATAGAGCAGGATCTAAAGTGAAGTTGAAGCAAGGGCCCCAGAAAGAAAAGAAAGCATAAGTAATGACTTACCTCGGGTCAATGCCATGCCAAAATCTCTAGAATATCTACAGGCAGCAGGCAATACCCTGATAAGGCAGAATGTAGTGGGAGATGAACGTGTGCAGAGTTGTCCACATGCCCTACCGTAGAAGTTCCTCCAATGGAGAAGGTAAGGTGTAGGATTTGATGGGAAGACACGGGAAAGAGATCACACTGGGAGAGGAACAAGAAAGAATAAGCCAACTGGATCAGACGATGAACCCAATTGGTCAGGGTAACAGGGGAAAGATCCAGGAAAGAGGAAGTTTGCCATGGGATAAAGAGGAGGGAACAAGAACCCTGGAAGGAAGCCATGCATGCAATGTAACAACAGAGGGAATGTACTGGCCAGAGGAGTGTATCTTGATCAGGACGAAGGTAGAGATGAAAGATAGAGGGAAGAGAGATATGGTAATAAGAGGAATGACCCTCTCAAGCCACGAAGTCTGGGAAAGGAATGCATGATCCAGATAAAGGATGAGGTAGGTTGAATGATACAAGGTCCTGGTGATGTCGAGGACAAAAATATCCATTCCATGATGCCCACAAGCCAATAGAAAGAGGAAACATGCCTTAAGGGAGAGGTACAGATGAAAGATAGAGGGAAGAGAGATATGGTAATAAGAGGAATGACCCTCTCAAGCCACGAAGTCTGGGAAAGGAATGCATGATCCAGATAAAGGATGAGGTAGGTTGAATGATACAAGGTCCTGGTGATGTCGAGGACAAAAATATCCATTCCATGATGCCCACAAGCCAATAGAAAGAGGAAACATTGTAATTAAAATATGCATTATCAGTAATATTAGTAACTCGACCTTGTCATTTTAAATTTTCATTATTAGTTTGTTCTATTTGCAAGCATTTAAACATAAAATTTGTAATAAAACATTAGCTTGTTGAGGTTTTCTTAATATTATTTCAATTACTCATTAACAAATTTTCTAAACTGGTGACTATATCATAAAGTAAATGCTTTGTAATCTGCTAATTTCTAAGAAAAGAAAAGTTTGAATCGTTACTATTTCACAATGTAATGACGAATAAAAATTTATTAAATTAATAATGATTGTATCTTCTGATATCAAAAGTCTTCAACAAATGTTAAAGTTATTTGTGTTAACTGAAAAGATAAATCCATCTCAATTAAAACAGAAAAAATGTTATCACAAATGTAGTAAATACTTAGTTACGATAAATATTTATTGTTGTGCTTAAAAAGAAAGTTATGTTACATACAGGCTCCAATGTTTGGCGATCTATAGATCTTCGAAATAGAATGGCTGCATAAATAATATTTGCTGCTCGAGCAGCTTGGTTTGTAGTGGGATGAGCAAGAAGAGCATCCTGAAACACACATTAGGTAACCACATGACAGAAGTTTAATAACAAACAATATATGATTTTGATAACAATCAAGTCCTTAAATTTATTAAATTCGAAAATTAATATTGGGATTTTTTTAATTCTATAATAACCTGTATTAAAGTAATGATCCAAGAAGCAGTGATTCTATCTACAAAAAATCATATCCTTACAATATTTTGATTAGAAGTTTCTAGACTAGTTTTGGACATTGGGCAATGTGTAAAATAACATTACTTAGCAAGAGGTATCCAAAATAACCTTGCACAATGTGAAGATATAAAACAGCCTTGCATATTAAAAAGAAGTCATACCTTTTATGTTAAACACAGATTAAAAATATAAATAAATAGCAAAAAATTCAGATCACCTAGTGACAATATAAAAGATTCACAAAGTGAAGTGTTCAACATGACCAAGAGAGGAGTCAGGATACCATTTTTTGCTTACATACATTAATTATAACTATCATTCTTCAAACAATAAATACTTTTAACAAACATCCATAAAATATTTGTTAAAATGTTAAAGTTTTCTTTAGATAATTAGTTAAGCCTACTTACTATGCCATAAAAATTACTGTTCACCATCAAAGGAGACCTGCCACGAAGATAAACATATTCCTCCCACCAATCAGAAACCTGGTTAGATGAAAAGAAAGGCCTTAAAGTTTACTTACTTAAAATAATGAACAATAAATGGGAACCTTCTAAATATTATTTTGCAGAACTATAACAAAATAATGGTTCATAAAATTTTTTTTGTTTGTTGGTTGTTAAACACAAAGCTACTCAATAGGCCATTTGTGCTATACCCACCATGGGTATTGAAACCCTGTTTTTAGCATTATAATCCTTCAGACTTACTGCTGAGCTATTGGGAGGCTTAAAATTTTAACAACTATTCAAGTAACCTTTGGACTTGATAGAAAATGTAATTTAATATATACTCCTTGGCGAGTAAGATCATGATACTTTAATATACAGAAGAAATATGATTTAGTAAGTAGAGAGATGTAAACAAATATCGAAAAATAAATCAGTTACATTACAAACTAATTTTTTTATCTATAAGCTTCAGGACACAACACTTACACAGTCCTTTACTACTCTTGCTGGTACATTTTGTAAATATATACATTTTTATAAATTTTTATATTTGGACAGGCCTGACTTAAAGTACAATGAAACTTGTCATATTTGCAGTTAAGTGCTAAAGTGAGATAACAGGAGAAAAAATAAATGTACATTTTGACTAATCAAACAATGTGCTTATGAAGTGTAGAATTACTGATGTGAAATTATCAAAGTTAAGTGATTAAATACAGTTTTTAAAAATAACATCATCTATTTTCTCTGCATACTAAGTAGTTTATAAGTGAAATTTAAAAATATGCTGTACTGTTAAAATATCTGGCAGCTTTACTATTACATGAAAATCATTTTAAATGACAATCAGATAACAAACAAATTTATGGTTATTACAAATATATTAAAATGTCCCTCACCACAAGCATTCCTAGCAAAAACAACTGTGATCAATATAATCATACAAATGCCTTGCTGTTAGTTGTTGAAATGGTAATAAAAGTTTGAAAAATGAATTACAATAAAAACACTACTAAAATATTTTAATGGCAATAGCTTCCTCACAAACAGGAGATTACAGCTTACATCACAATATTTACTTCTACATTCTTTGACATAAACAGTAGATTTACATCTTTGTATGGATATTTTTCTTTGTCTATATTAGTTTATGTTTAATGAAAACATATCTTTGCTTTAACAGTTATAAAAAAATAGCTTATGTACTTTAGAAAAGGCAGAAGTATATCAAGACTGAAAATCAGCAATTTATTTTCATTCTACCATATCTGTGTGGTATTTCAAAATGACTGACAGTTCAATATCATGTACCACAATACAGGAGGTTCAGAGCTAAAGTGTGCAAAACAGCAAAGGAAAAACTCAAAAACTTAAGCACAACAAAAAAAATAAAACTAATTTCCACACAGATTACTCTCTCTCTCTCTCTCATAATATGGATGTCTTCTCAGTACCAGTAGTAACTCTATGGCTGTTAGAGATGGGTAGAAAAATTAATGCACTCTGCAAAGGATAGAATTAATTTGAATTCTGATCATATTATAATGTCAGTCAGTCCAAAGCCCTTGCATAGTATTCTTCAATTACCTATATTAGGGATTATTCTCATTGTACATTCAAAGGGAAATGAACTCCCAGTTCATACAAACCTGTGCAAATCCCTGCACAACCTCTTTCACTTGGGTATGACCCACAACTATGAGAAAAGAAAATGGAGAAGAATGTCCAAGTGAATATAAAGCTCCCTGGAATGATCATTGGGCATGAATCCTAACACTGTAGATGCTCACACACATTAAATTAAAAGAAGAAACACTCAAGAGATAGAGATTCTGTTAAAAAGATCACAAGAAAGATACCCAAGCATCACAACTCAGAAAAACATTCCCAATATCTATATATATTCAGTAAATTATAGTCCAACATTTTTAAATATATATCTTTTACAATTTTCTGATATGACACTGTATATGTATTCATATATTAAATGTCTGCATATTAAAGACCATAACACAACATATCCATATAAGAGATAAAATTTTTAATGAAATAGACCAAAAAGAATCATCACACAACTGACATACAACACTAATGTGGAAATGGTAAAATGTACAGGGGTAGGAAAAGTGTCTGCAGAAGTAGGGCCCACACAGCAACAGCTTTACATGCTATCAGACTTACACCTATTCAAAGAGTCACATGTGAAATAAATTTATAACTAAAATACATTAGGGGGCAGATATGGGATGTTCAAGCACACAATGTCCCAAACATCTACAACCATCATTCACCATCTGCATTCAGTAATCAGGGTGAGACAAACATCCAGCAGAGCTGATTACCAGCATATTACGTGGAGGTACACTACAAAATTCATGACTATCATTGTGTATACACTGAAAAAAAAATTTAGCATAGAAAATTGAATAGCTGGTAGTTATTTCTACTAGCATTAGAATGTCAGATTTATTTTTTTGCACTAGACAGTAACCTTAAAGCCATTACAACCTCACAATGAAAATGAATGGTCAAATAAAAATACTTTCAACCAGGACTTTCTATACTTTATTACATGGAATTTTCTCAACGTACTTTAAAGCTGTTGACTACACTTCTTACTTTGTAACGTCCATAACAGGCAACCACATAGCTATCTAAAAATAATTTGTTTAACTCACATAGTTTGTAGACCACCAAGACTTGAGCCATAAGTAATGTTGAAGCTTTGGTCCAATAGTACTCTTAAACTCATCTACAAGTTTCTCCATTCTGACAAACTGCTGGTTGTTACATAAGGGACGAATCGAGACCAAGTACTACATATAAAGATAGGATAAAAATGAACATTAGTCATTACTTATATATGTATAATGTAAAAACAATATGGAAAACATGAAAATATAGAAATTGAAAAACAATAGTGATATAAATACAGGAATCACAAACAACAAAAAAATTGCAACTAGATGGTGAATTTATTAATGGTACAAAACATTATCACAGAAAACATAAAAGAAAAGCAAATGAGTTGTAGAATGAACTACTATTTTGTATGCAAGCCTTTGCTTTACACAGTAATACATTACACCACATTCTCAAGCTGTCATACAGTTTTTCAATGTATGATTACATAACATTGTTCCAAGTGTCCTGTATTACTTCTCATAGTTCAGCCAAGTTCTTTGGTCATCTTTTGACCTTCTCAGTTTATGTATAAGCCCTTACAACTCACAAAATATTGGAAATTTGTGTAGAACAAGCCATGGATGAGTGTATTCCATCAGTCTGTTTACTGTCTAAGGTATAATTTCATCACATTTTCTGTATGCTATGGATTTATGTTTTGATGTAAGATGAATCCATGCCCAATGAGTTGTGTTTCTGATGGAATAACTGAATCTGACTGTTCTCGTTAGCAGTCAAAGTGTTATTAGTTTTGTGTAGGTTACTGACACTGATGGCTAAGATGCAATCCTACACTTGTACTAATCCCCCACCACTGCAGGAGTTGTACATTAACTACAATACCTTTCTCCTCACTGCTGTCAAACAACAAAAGGTCACGTGACTTGGTCAAATTGATCAACCCCATGTTGAGAGAGTTAAAGATAAACCCATGTTTTAATTGATCAGCAACAATGAATGACCACAAAGGAAATTTGAGATTTTTGAGATGATGAGAGTATTTTTAATTTTAACATGAAAATTACTTTGCACACAGACTATTCAAAACAAATACTCAGTATATTCATGGACAAATCTTTATTTTATTCAAAATACTTCACTAAGAAATATGACTTTTTGTATGTGAAAGACTAGAAATATTAACTGAAAGACTGCCAAATTTTGTGAAGATATACCCAATATATTGAGAGTTATAAGTATTAAATTTATAAAGACTTTAAAATCGAGTTAATCCCTAAAACCTCCTAAATGCATTGCAAACGTTTTTTTTTTCAATAAATCCTTATAGTTTATATGTTATTTCCTCTACCCTATCTCAAAATGGGATTGGTCAATTTGACCAACCATGTAGCCACTAAAAAAAGAATTGAAATAAACCTAAATTAACCTTTTTCCTTTCTAGAATGACTTCAAATTGTAGCACAAAACTACATTCGTTTATCCTAAGTAGCTCTAAGATCGTAACATTATACATATGTTTATAATTAAATTTTACTGTTTTATTGCCCTTTGAACCATGTCTATCTACTATCCGTGCCATCATAAGTTATAAACCACTCGGGGAACATGCTATTGCTCATTACGCTATTGAATTAAATTACCCATGAGCTGCTGGTGTGCGTGCCTCATGAACCATTTTAATTATATTATTATTATTACTTATTTTACTTACTCTAGTTTTAAATAACTTAAAAAGATCCATACTTTTAATTTTAGTTACTTTTATAATAATAAAGAAAGAATAAATATGAAAAACAAAAATAAAATACTTA